TAGAGTGTTAAAGTATTACTTTCACCTTAGAACCTTCAAAACAAGTCTCCTACAACACACAGATGCACAGTCATTCAAAAGCTAACCCAGCTTGCATGCATACAACATTTATTTAGGTTTGTCAGGATAAAGTCAGTTATTGGAGCTGCTTTCGATCTGTGCTTATATGTGCAGTGAAAATGAAGTACCGCTGCTCTTTGGCCAGAGAGGAGGCTGATGCCCGGGCCAGGAAGCTGTCTTGGGGCGCAGCAAGGCTGAAGCCAGAACCAATGACTTTTTCTGGTGGAAGCGGGGAAGGGCTTTTGTTCCCAGACTGGCTTTCCTAATACAGGGAAAGGCTTCAATGCCTTTTTCAGTGCTGAGGAAAAAAAGTCCTCGCACGGGACGAGCATTGGTGGAGAGAGAAGAGGCCATCCCTTGTCTGCGGAGGGCTGGAGCTGGGGGAGGTGGGACAAGGGAGGAGGACGCTCCTGTTCCAGTTAAGTGCAGGCTTAGTGCTCATAAAGCTGCTTAGCACTTGCGTTCTGCCGGAGGGCAGTTTTTAAAAGAGGCAAAGCCTCTTACACTGAGAAGGCTAGGATTTGATGGAGGTGCTGACTGTTCTCAAAACCCTGAGGGGAAATGGATGCAGAAGATGCTAGCACAGGGTTGGAAAAAGGTGATGACCTCCGAGTGCTGGGGGAAAGAAGCTTTTTCCTTGTCCTGTCCAAGCAGGGCAGTGTGAGCGTTCAGAACTGGGACTGTCTTCATAAACCTCAGTTTTGCATTAAAACCAGGGTAGTAGCAGAGATGTTCTCACTACTGGCTGTGACCTCCAAAGAGCAGCCAGAAATACCTGGTAGTTCTGGGCAGCCTTCATTTACATTTGCTTTCCTCTGCAGATTATTTGTGCACTCCAGAGGAAAATGTTTACAAGATTGACTTCACCAGGTTCAAAATCCGGGACATGGAATCTGGCACAGTCTTGTTTGAAATCACCAAACCAGCAGCTTCAGGTGAGTGCACACAAAACCCCCTGTTTTCACGAACTTCCTTTTGCCTTTTTTCCACCTCTTTTACTCAACACGTTTCTCCAAAATAGAAGATGGTCTCAATTGCAAGAGTCCCAGGTTGCGGCAGAAATACTGTTCAGGTGCCCCTCTGTACCAACACAGTGAACAGAAGTCATTGCTGCTGTATTCGTATGATTGCCATCTGTGATGAGAAAGGACAGATGGATGTTGTAAACAGGAGCGGAGGAGGAGGAGGAGGAGGTCACCATGTGTTAGTGTCTTGGCTGTTCATCAGCCAGAGTCCCCCTGTATGTAGTTTAACTGTTAGTCTAACATCTTCACTCAGGAGTCAGGAAAATGGTATTTCCAAAAGGGAGAAACTTTGTCAATTGTGCAAATCAGACAAACCAAAAATTTGCATATTTTTATTTTCTTCATAATTCTTAGGTGTCACATGTAACCACCAAAGCGTTACCTGTTGCCGCTGGTAATGAAAAACCAGGGCAACTGTTCCTTTCCTGATCAATCACTCTTTTAAATCTTCCCCGTCTCCCTGCAGGTGAGAGGAAGGTTTCGATAGCTTAGAGGTAGCAAACCAGACATGCTGGGGCGAAGTGGCCGGTTCAGAGTCACACTGCAATCCTGAATCCGAGGTGGGAGCAGAAGATAAGAAGTGTATCAAAGGGCCAACTCTCAATACTCTGTCTCTGAGTGACCAGTAGTTGATGCCTTAGAGAGGATAGGAAGAGGGTAAACATGTCATCAGGCTTTCTCAGAATAGTTTCCTGGCTTATATGACTCGATAATGTGTGATTGCCAGTTATTTATCACTGGTTTCTGTTTCTCAGACGACTGTGACGGAGCTTTACTTTGCGCTTTTCCAGAACGTGAACACAATGACAAGAAGGACATTGACCCCAATGCTGGACGGTTTGTACGCTATCAGTTTACCCCAGCTTTTCTTAGACTTCGGCAAGTGGGAGCCACGTAAGTAATTGCTCCTGTTCTACCTTTTCTAGTACAGGAAACAACAGAAATCTTATAAAAAGTGGCTCTTGCTTGTTGATCCTGTCAGGAAGAAAAGGGGGGAAAACGAGGTGGACAGACTACCCAGATATTCCAACTCTTTTCTGTGCATTATAGTTTGTTTGTCAGAGGCTCTGCCCGCTTCGGAAGATGTGTCTGCAGCCTCCACGTTGCATTCCCCAAATCCCATTAGTCCATAGATGCACCTGAAATGGTGCAATAATGCTTGACCCTTTATATACCACAGTGATCTTTGATGTGTCTGGTCGTGCTGCCTTGTACCCATCAATAAACCACACCAAAATGTGACACCTGAAGTATCTTTCAGGCGAAAGGTGACAGAGCGTATTGTTTCTTTAGTAGTATTACTACTAACTTACTACTAACTCTAGTACTCACTCTAGTGAGTGATCTAGTGAAGTGCCTATCCAGTATAGTTGGAGGGATCTTTTCTGCACTAAAGATGAGTTTAAGATTGTAAAATTGTCTGGCATGTCTTTTTTTTTTTTCTTCTTGAGTAAAAAGAATCAAACAATGGTATAATCTAGGATTTGTAATGCTATGGTGTGTCCCTGTAGCATGCTTTAAGAGGAAACCATAACTTGGTTCATACCATTACTTTATATTTTTGTCTTTTTTTTTTTGACGAGCTCTCTTACACCTTTCAGGAATGGTTGCAAACATTGCTTAGGCAAGAAAGCTCATTTCAATCTTATCCTTCTTTTTCAGGGTGGAATTCACAGTAGGGGACAAACCCATTAATAACTTCCGCATGATTGAGAGGCACTACTTCCGGGATCAATTGCTTAAGAGTTTTGATTTTGAATTTGGGTTCTGCATCCCCAGCAGTAAAAATACTTGTGAGCACATCTATGAATTCCCACAGCTCTCTGAGGATCTCAGTAAGCTCTCTTTAATTACTGCGTTACCACACAGTGATGTTAATCTATCTAAGGTGTTTTGAAGAAGCCCTTTCTTAAAAGCTGTCTGTAGAAAGTGAGTAGGGTAGAATACTTCCAGGTAGCTTTGTATCTGCATTAATACAGATTTTGGTTTCTAGTAGCACATATCTTGTCACCCACCAGACAGTTGTTTTGTTTTGGTTTTTTTTAATTCATAAAATAGAAGCTTCAGTGTCAGGGAGAAAAAAGATAATTGTGTTATAAAACAAGCAAAAAACTAGGATTAAAAAGACACCCAATAAACGGGTGACTTAAATGTTACGTTCTGGTTTAATGTTTGATGTGCTATATTGATAGCTTGAGAGGTTTTAGTTTTAGTATGAACATAACTTTTATTTTCTCTCCTCTCTCCCAAGACACAATAACATCAGTACTAAATCTGTGTGACTTTATATTCTTTACAACCCCTAATCATCTATGTCAGCACTAATATTACAGTCTGTAGCAAATAGTGATGCGCTGCTGCTTACTTACTGTCACACCAGAACAAATTTCTTTTGAGTTTGCCCTTTTACCACTTTTTTTTTAAACAAAGCAAAACAATACTCCCAAACTCTAATGTGATGTTGAGGTTAGGTAGAGCACTTACACTTTGTACGGTGCCTTCACGTATGTAGATGATCTTTGAGTTCTTTAAAAGATACTGTCAAGGAATGGTTTGGGTAGGTTCCTGTTTTGGTTTTGGTTTTTCACTTGAGAGTTTGCTGCTATTTGAGCAATGCTAGTAAATGTAACTGAAACCCAGTGCAGAGTGTAGGGCTTCTGTGTAACACGATTAATTTTTAATTTATTTTCTTTTTTCCCCCCTGCAGTTCGAGAGATGATCCTTCATCCATATGAGACACAGTCGGACAGTTTCTACTTTGTAGACAACAAGCTGGTGATGCACAACAAGGCAGATTATTCGTACAGCGGAGGACCTTGAGCACAGGACGCACAGCCGACCTGCGCTGGCCTTCCCTCCTTTTCCTATCGAAGTCGTCAGGGATACCAACACCTTCGGTTCCGTTGCCTGCAGTATCAACCGGACAAGGATCCACAAACCAAGGACTCTTTGCCACAGTAGGAGTTTCATGACTAAATTTGCCAGTCTCGTCCTTTCTGAGCTTTGAAACAGACCCGGTTCTTCAGAACTTTAAGCGGTTCTACAATGCTAAATGATCTTTGGATACCACTTCCCTAAGTTCTTTAAGTGTCTGCTTTGAAAAATGGCCTTGTGGGACGTGGGGGATTTTGCCCTAATTCTGCGGATTTGTGTTCTTGCCCTCATGTATCTTTCAGGACGTGGTTGCTTTCTCAAAGAATGTAATATGAGCAACCACGCGAGTGGATGGATGCAAATGCAGAGTTTTGTTTATTTGTTTCTCTTTGCGAATGCTTCAAAGGCACAGCCAATTTAACTTGTGCATCCGGCTGAAAATGTTGAGCATAACACCTTACAAAAGCAAGTTTCATCTTTAGATTAGTTCTCTAAATAAGTATTTCATCCTTTAGTTTTGTTCCTTCTATGTAATATTCTGTTTAATCTTGCAAACACTCGCAATGAACACCAGGAGTTCAAAGACAGAGCTGTTTTTAATTGGGTACTGTCCTTTTACGTTTCAGATGAAGGCAAAATAGCATTGAGGGTCTGCGAACCTCCATAAGTATTTTCCATTAATTTCAGTTTTTGCAAACTGCTTGCAGAACAGTCGGGGAAAAATGGAAGGATTTTAGCTTTATTTAGCATTTTAACATAGCTAACATTCAGCTTATGCTATACGTTTTCCATGTCTATTTTCTTTCACCTCTGCTCAATACTAAGGTAAGGGCTTCAGCACTGCTTGTTAGAGCAACACTTTCATTTGTCTAGGGCAGTTGGAGAGTGAGGAATTTCCAATTTTCCATTTGTATCTGAATTTGAAGAATGTTATGTCAGTGTTTTCCCTTTGTTAAAAATGTTTCGTGTGGGATATTAATACAGGTGAAACAGCAAATCTAAACCTGTAGGACTTTAAGGCACAGCAAAAATTTAGCAGAACCTCTCTCTTCAGACTGTATAAGAAGACCAATTTTGCCCCAGTTTCTCAGCATGTGCTTCTTAGAAAGACAGAAGTGCAAAGAAGTAGCAACATCAAAAGAGTAAACTAGTGTATGCAAAACAAAACCTGAGAAGGCTGCGTGGGGTAGCCTGTTGTCATGAAACCCTTACTCTAAAGGTCAGTTCACTGATACTTTAAAATATAAAAGGCAGTTGCAGTTTGTAGATATTTCTATAAATACTTGATGTCTCCATGTCTAATTCTGTGAGTTTAAGTGGAACATTATACGTTAGCCTCAGATAGGTGTGATTGTAATAATTTTTATAAAATCCCATTTCCAGTCGTGATTAACATCTTTCTAGTTGCAGCCTAAGTCAAACAGAACTACAAATGGTTCCAAACGTAGCCGTCAGCCTAAGGACAGGGAGGGTTTTGTGCTCTTGTTGGGGTTGTGGTCACTGTTAAATGTGTTACCATTTGTATTTGGCTTGGCTTTCTTTACTTCTGAAAGAGGATCAGTTTTCTAAAGAAAATGCAGTGAGTTTAGGTCACAGCACAGAATTTTTTATTAAGATTGATAGCTAAGAAAGTACGTAAAGTTCACTGATTTTACACAACTAGTATCTTGTAGTAATTATTATCACAATGAGACTTGTATTTATCACTATTTTTTGTCTCTAGTGTATTAAATCATACAATTAGCCTACGGCTGACTTACTGTTTGAGAGTTACAAAGAATTTCCTCATTATTTGTACAATGCTTTGAGCTACTGATCATTAAATTTTATAGCAGTATAATTACTAAAGGTGAAAATAGTTTCAGAAAGTCTAGATCATTCTCCTCCTCCCCCCTGCACTTTTTTTTTTTTTTTTTTTTTGCATCAGGGCTGTTAATTATCTATATATTCAATGACATTTTGCAAGTTTAAGTATCTATGAATTTTGTTCCAATTCTTGAAGGAGAAAATACATTGATTTGAAGACAGAAGAGAGTGTGTATGTTTGTATCTAGCATCCTATACAGGTTTTTTTAGGGTATCTTTCAACTTTCACCTGCTGTTCATAATAATCACTTCTGTGCATAAGTTTTTTAAAAGATTTCTAGCAATGGTGCTTGCCCCGAATTGCCAGTCACATATCAAACAGATGTATGTTTCAAACAGAAATATACATCTCAGTGTATTTTGGTGAGAGTGGTCATCCTACTTTGGTGTAGACTCTTGGGTTATGGTAGGGAGTATCCTCTCTGTAGAGCATGTCATTGTCAGCTGATCGGAGTCATGTTCTGCTCCTTTTTTATGCTACCTCCTTTTAAGACTTTGGACTTCAAAAGCAATTCCATAAAAATGTTACTGTAATCAACAAAAACTTGAGCAGTAGACATGCTCCTTTAAAAAGAACCCTAAAGAAAGTTACCTTGTCCCCAGTAGTGCAGGATGTTGCTGAATGGACTTTCTGACACTCTGCATTTTATGAGAGGTTTGAGGTTAAACGTAAGAGGATGTCTGTCCGCTACCGATCTCCTGAATTCTGCTAACTGTTCTGATAATTTAGATTCTATGGGGAGTAATTTCAATCTAACAGAAAATATAGTGTGAATCATATAGGAGATATTTTATTGAGTGAATTTGTTATCTTCTATTATTAGGAATACTTTAAAACAGGAACAAATATTGGATATTTTCAAGAAAATAAATTTCAACATATTTTAGCTTTAGCTTTTCAGTTTGAGGAATTTTACTTTTTTTCAAAGTCCCCACAATTTGCTACAAATAACAAGTTCAGATTCTTAAACCAAGGCAAATAACACAACTTTCTGTGGGACGTGTAAGGAAGGTGCTTTTTCCCCCTGTATTTCACTGCAACAGTTATCATTGTTATCTCTCTGTTTCACTTGGAAACAGGTTGTTTGCATTTATGGAAGGTCATCTACATGCCCAATGTTTACAAACATGTAGGAATCACTGTCCAAGGGAGAGGTGCCATTCCTTCTCTACCTGTTTATGCAGCAGTATCATGGGTGGTGTTGCCATGGGACATTACATTGTTGCACGTAAAAGCACTAGAAGAGTGTTTCTTCAAAAACTTCTGCATGACAGTTGCTGTTCTAATGCTGCTTCTGTCCTTGTTTTGCATTAAAACTACGTGTAAAATTTAATGTTAAAGACCATGCTTTGTACAGCACTGAACAACTTCAACTTCAACTTTCATCTGAAAGGAAGCTGAGAGCTCAGGTCAGTCATAAAATAAACCCCACATTTTTTCCCTTAAATTTGCAGCTGATTCTTATTATAAAGGAGTTGAAAAATCAGATCTTGTTCACAGAAGAATTTGTTCATCTTTGTGACTAGTTATTATTTTGTATTTTAATATTAATCATTATTGGGTTTACTTTGGAACTTCATCTACAAAATCACCCAATATTGGCTCTGGAAAGATAATTCTTGTATTTTTTTCTTTGGTCACATTTAAAAAATTATTTTAATTAGCACTACAGCTCTTTAACATGCCAGTCTGGAAATTCAGGATCTGACTTTCTGAAAGTAAAAGAAAACATCAAACAGCTAACCAAGATTATCTGCTAATAATGACTAGCTGTTTCCTGTCATAAGACATGATTATATGTGTACTTCAGACTGAATTAATCTTGGGAAAAGATACAGTCTGTGTGAGGGCTAATAGTGACATCATTTTTCTGAGAGACAAGGAAATTATAACTCAACACATTTTTTCACTTTCTCAGTCTTGGATTCCTTTAAGCTTTACTTCTTTTAAAGAAAAGCAACAGGAATACATTTGTGGTTAACTGCCATGCTGCATGGTCTAATAATTCACAAGCTTTAGTGGCAGAAAGAGAACAATTTATTTTTAAGATTAACACATCAAGTGTAAGTACAGTTTAATTTTCAGTAACTTTGTTCTCAGATCAGTGACAAAAGCCAAAATTGTTTCTGTGAATGTATCCTTTATGTGGTAACATTTATGGAATAACTGAACAATCCACTCTCCCTGACTCAAGAAGAAATTTTTTTTTTTTTTTTTTTAATGTAGAAAGTCTCTTCAGGTTTGCAAGCAAGGTGTTGGGGTTTAGTTCCTGCTCATCATCTCTCTCTACATCTTGTTTTTGAGCAGGTCAGTAAGATATAGCTCTATTTGTCACTCCTCCATTTCAGTTTTATTTCAAGAGCTTGTGTAGAGTGTCAAAGTGGTGGCTGGCTGCGTGTGAAACATTGCAAGCTACCAAGTTCCAAATTCCTTCATTTTGAGCAAACTGACTATTAAAGTATTTTGAGAAATACATCTTGACCCCTAAAAACTAGATTCCAATCTTCATGACAAAAATTAAAGGGAACTCTTAATCACGCAAAGATTATTTGGGGGCTATTTAAGGTGAGAAAATGCTAATATCCAACTCTCATACTTAATGCATATTACAAAAATGTTCTATTAATTATTCATAACCTGAAAAAATATGGTTGACAGCTCAATTTTCATTAGATCTGATTAGGTATGAAACTATAGAGATTATTGCTATCCCTTAATGGGGGAGGAGGGAAGAGCAACTAGAACCGCATGTGTCGCACAAAAGCAAGACAGGTTTACGTACACTGACTCTACTGGTAAAAGTTGTCTTTGGGAAAAAATGAGGGAGAGGGACAAGGACAGGAAAGGAGTTAATCTCAGCTAATTGGAACCAACATCTTTAAGGCCATGGTAAGAGTAAATGCTTTTTCTCTTGAGTTTGAGAGAGCTGGTAGCCTCTGTTAGCAGTTCTTTTCTATACTGCCAGCATAAGCACTACTGAAGTGTATACAAATGTTTCAATCAAATATTAAATTCCACTGACAGTTCGTATCACTTTCTAAACATGGAAATATATTTGAAGAGTGTGATACTCTAGGCC